TCAGGTTTCCTGACTGTGGAGAAGCCTTGGGCGTTGTGAAGGTGTGTAGTAACTGCATTGGAGTAGTTTGCTGCCAGAGGTGAGAAACAGCTCACTGTTGAAGTCGTGTCTTAAGCAAAGCTTGTAGACACTATTCGATTGGTTCTCTGGGATGAGCAGAGGTACAGAAAGCCGTCGGGGGTTGGTTATCACTGAGCGAGCTTGGAGCGGCAGAGGTTTGACCGTCATAAATCGCCGTGATAATCGCCGTGATAATCGCCGTGATAAATTGCCGTGATAAATTGCCGTGATAAATTGCCGTGATAATCAGGGGGTAGTCGTCTAGTCAAAGACCATGGCGACTGGTTGCAATGAGTAGTACAGAGTATACTGTCTGGCTCAAGAGCAGGTGAGATTCCAATAACAAAGTTGATTGACGAGGTCAAACACGATGCCATAAGGGCAGCGTGTCTACTTGCTTATATACTTGACAGGAGGATTGATTGTACTGCTCATATCGAGTATTGTCAGTGACTTGATACTTGGTCCAATCGAGCGTTGTCAACGTGACCTCAATACTCGGTCCTCGGTGTCCTGTTGTCAACGTGGGTCCTCTGCAAGTGGGTTGGTATATGGGTCCGTGACAATCGTTTGTGTACAGGATCCACGTTGTATCCACTGCAGTCCTTTTCGTACAATCTCGGTTCGTATAACAGATATTGCGAGTTGTTCATGGATCGTAACACTCACATCGAGCGGCTGCAGCGTGTGGGTACTGTGTGGGGGATAGATACAGAGCAGAATCCTGTGGCGTTTGCAGTAGTTGATAAAGGCCATTGTTATATGTGAGCCGTGGCCATCGACAATGAGCAATCGCCATGAGTTTTGAGCTTTTGCCTTAGTGTAGCAATCAAAGACCTGCTCAAGCCAGGCAACACCCATCTCATTGTTGGTCCAACCTGTAGGTGATGCCGCTACAAATACTGAGTGTTTTCCTGGCTCAATATCCGCCACCCAGTTTGATTGTAGGGCTTGAGCTTTACTCTGGTATATGAGGCCTGGTGGCAGAGTTGACCCATCTGCACACACGCTTGCAAGTAATGTTACCCACTCACGATTGCCATCTTGGAGTGATTCTCTACTCCTCCCTTGTTGCCATGTTTGCTTAGAGAAGATCCGCTTGCTCTTGCCTGTCAGGCCAATTGCAAAGCCTTTCTCATCCATATTGTATGTGTGCCGTGGCTCGATGTTGTATTGGGTGATCTTCTGCTGCAGAATATCAAAGTACTTGGTGTACTTTTCGAGAGAATCGGCAGCGTGCCGCTGCGCATCCATACTTGTGGTCCATTGTGATGATATTCGATCAGAGTGCCGGTGAAGGAAGTCAGTAATCCAGCTCTTGGAAACCTCGTTGTGAGCAAGCGCAAAGGCAAACTTTGCTACCATTTGACGCATAGGAGGTAGGTGACGATCTGTAAGCTCTTCAATATACTTCACAAGGTACAACTCCTGTTGTGGGTGGAGTAACTGGCAATCTGTGTTGGCATCTTCCCGGGATTGCTGCACACCTTGGTGGTGCCGTGACAACGTTACGCGATTAACACGATGCAATTTCTGTATATGTAAAATTTTCGCCAGGCTTTAATTGACAAATCTGCATAAGTGCATCATGAATTCCAGGCATGGTTGTGGTGTAGTTGACGTGTCAAAATGTGACTATTGTTGTTGCCTG